AGGAAGTAATCAACAATGAAACTTACATGGCAAGTGAGCCTTTTCTCGAACATAAGGTATCCATTCATTGTTTCTGCTGCAATTTCTGCTACATCTTTATCCTCAAACCCGATGTATGCCCACCCTTTGTGGTTACCAGTCTGAACCAAAAATATACCTTTACGTTACAATACCTAGCATATGGCCCTACAAAAAGGCTGCAGTCGTTTTTGAAGTCATTTACGATTACGGCACCATGCGAGGAGAAACGAACCTTTCAAACCAGGCAAGAATAACTAGAGGCACGAATAACTAGATACTTAATAGACACGCTAAAGTAGGTAAACTAGGGATGGAAGGGAAAGTAAGCGGGATAGGAATAAAAACCTGGCTTTCTAACAGCAATAGGGACTATAGTATTTGACCACAACTCCACAACTTTTCAACACTCATTAGCTTTCTTTCATTCTCACTGTGCAGTAATTATCACCGAAGTCAGTCGGGGCGGATCTAGACGTGAAGCAATCTGTTTGCCATCAATGGCTGCCACTCTGGACTTCCAGAGCGGTGGGAAAATGACCGGTGCAGCGTCTAAACCCATGCCCCACGCTGACATGCTCTGACTTCAACGAGTTTTTCTTCACCGAACGCTACGTGCGCGGGTCAGGAAATGAGGCAGCCATTGAAGTATCACTGCCCTTGGGCACACCTTTCCAAGAGCTGGCCATGTTTCCCATGAGGAAGAGATTCTGCACCCCGGATTGCATTCTCTTCCGAAGGGGGTTTTTGAAGAGGGACACGAAAATTTCGAACTAGAAAATAATGAACCAGTTAATGAAAACATTTTCAAAAAACCAGATGGAATCAGCTTACCTTCACATTACGGGCTACTCGCACTCTTACAACTTTCCCAAACTGAGTGAAATATTCCCAGAGTTGCTGAAATGCAAATGATATTACCGAAAAAACCATCAACACCATTACAAGAACATCTATTGTGAACGGAAATAATGGTGTTTAAGATAGGCAAATTATAGTCAAAATAAACCACAGCCTAAAGGCGCTGTTATCATGTCATCTCCAATCACAGTGACTTATTTAACTGATAAACCAAAGCGAAGATACACTATGAAAAACTCCACATCTCTTCTATCACCCACTAGATGCAATGAGATATCGAAGTAGTTACTTAGCTATAGCGGCGTAGAGGCCTACATTCCAAGCAGCGCACGTCGTTCATTAGGGGAGCATTAGGGGAACCTAAGCGACTGGTAGGCGTAATCGGTTGGGAGAGGGGGTCGTAGCTGCTCTGTATTGACTGTTTCAAGTGTGTCTCGAGTGCACAACATACCCCCTCCCCGCCTCTCGACGGCAGTTTTTTGGGAAAAAGGCTTAAGTTCTGGAGAAAAACTGGGAGAGGTGGCAGGAAGAGGAGTATGGGATGAGGAAGTTTAGGATCGTATTTTGCGAAAAGTTTCCCCAACGGCAGAACCTGCCATGATTCAAAGACGTTATAGTGGACAGAAAAGTTGCCGACTAACTGATTCTGGATCCTTCTGATTTAGATATCCTATCAGAAGAACACGTTTCCCACATGAATCCAAACTTCTAATTCCTCACCTTCTCAAAGAATCCATACGGTAAATGCCTCAATTTCACAACATGGAGACTTTTCTCTGGCTTCTTTGTATTCTTTCCAACAATCTTTGGCTTTTCAGCAGCTGCCGCTGCCGATGTGGAAATCGCTTTTGTCATGATTTATTCTAGAATCTCTGCATAATGAGCGGCATCCAATATTGAACTGATGACGTCACGATAAATAATCTCCGCTGGATATCCACTCATGAACAACATACCATCAAAATAGAAGATTTATTAAACCAATAAAGTTTCGAGCATACTTTCAGTAAAGCATCACAGTTCCGATAATATGTGTAACAACAATATTAAGGAGAGAATAGTTGGCGCTAATCAATTCATTAAATAATTTTTATGTCGAAATCAAATAACCCCGTGTATGCCCAGATCACAAGCATTGGGGAGCAATAACGAAGATAATAATCATCAGCTCGAGCAGCGTTGAGATAAAAGAAGAGTAAAAGGATTACAACAGTATTTAAACCACCAAGGATACAACTCGACAAATTTTGGCGATGATATGGGAAGGCAAGGCACTAAGATCACAATTTAATGGTTCATCAAACTCCTTCTATACAGTGGCCACCACAGGAGAAGGCAATGTTGCAGACTAAGGCCGCTCCAATGTATTTGATGGCAACTATCCTAAACACCGGAACAAACAGACACGGAACTTGCATACATATGAACAAGAAGGGAAAAATCACTAGACAATAGGTCATACAAAAATCAAGTGTGACACGAGACTTCACAGCAAAATATTGATTTGAATTTCAAATGGTTAAAGTTACGTTCCGATCCATAATAGGAAACCTGATTGCTGAACTAATTCGAATTAGGGGCACACGGGTAGATATCATTGTGCAGGCCCAACGATACTCATTTTCGATGCAGACTTCTTGAAAAACTTCAAGATGCCCTTCTTTTTCTTCCCTTCGGTTGAAGATAAAGATATTGAGTCCTCTGTCATCCTATAAATTGACTATTTTTATGGGTAATAACGTATTATGATAGCTATGAATAGCCTGAAAATCTGTCCCAGCCCGGAGCACCTATCCAGTTCACAAAATCGGAACTGTTGGAATGATTATAGGGGCATGAGAGCACGGCGAGTTAACCAGTTCGGCTACATGTCTTTCTGAAGCAATGTAACGTCGGCTCAAGTGGGCTGGCCATGGTCCAATAGGCGAGGGCACTATCCGTTACGTCATCAAAGCGGCTACCCTACTTGACGGCTTTTATGCCGTCGCCTTACAGCACTCACACGTTCAACATGGTGAGAAGGTATCTGTAATCGCTAAATGTCGGCAGCAAATCGTGGGCCGAAAGTTTTGTAAGTTTTTGAAGTTAAGTTATCATGATAAAATGCCGCGCTCTTACCGTTGACGGCTTTTAAGCAGATGAGAGGATAAGAGCGGCTCTGGTGGGGTGATGGATTGCGCGCTAGCCTGCAAAGTGTGAGATGCAAGTTCGAGTTCCGTCTGGGGTCAAGACTTTTGCCCATGACTCGACATTCTTGTGATAATAACAGCTAGCGGTTGAGCGGATGATAAAGTGGGGACAATGAAGGGTCACATACGGAAACCGCCACGTCCTCTTGTTGGGGAAAATAATAACAAAATACAAACCCCCTCTTCCCCGAATTCCCTCTCCTGATACGAATCTCGCTTCTTTGCTCCTCTAAGGCCGCGTTCATACATGATGCAGAAATGCCGAACCACGGAATGTGCAGAACTGCGGAATTGGGAGAACCGCGGAACTTGCAGAAGAAAATATGTCTATCGATTTCAAAAACCGCGGAATGTGCAGAAATGCCGAAATGCAGAAATTCCGCTGGTGAGGCTAAGCGATCAATCCCTATCAGGTCATTGTCCGTCATTTCGGCATTTCTGCAAATTCCGCGGAATTGGGAGAAATGCAGAAATGCGGAATTTGCAGATTCTGCATTTCTCCCGATTCCGCACGACGGCAGGAACCAAGCGATCGATCCCTATCACTTCTTTGTCCGTCATTTTGGCATTCTGCAAATTCCGCGGAATCTGCAGAAATGCCAAAGTGACGAATGCGGTTTTAAAATCGATGCGTAAACATTTCCTGTCTGCAATTTCGTCATTTCTGCAACGTCGTCATGTATGAACGCCTGAAAGAATTCAGTTCTTCCCAGCCCCGAAAAAAAAACTGCTGCCATCGGCCGTTGACCGGCACAGGGGAGGCATACAAGTTCACGAGACGGATAAACTGAGAAAATTCAGCCACCGGGAAACTTCCTCCTTTCTCGCACCTCAGGAAAACCTCTCGCAACACGCTTAATCGGGAGAAATCCAGCAGCAGCACACAAAACTGAAACCCTTTGAACATAGTCAAGTGAACTGAATCAGGTACTGCAACTGAAAGGACCATGCGGCACAGTAGAGATGGCACTTTCCCTCGAAGGTAGGACTGCTCATGCTCAGCGCGAAGGTGAAAAATCAGACAACCCATGAAACGGTTTGGATGCATGTTGGTTACAAAAAAAAAAAGGACTTTTCTGGTCTCATTTTCTCATCTTAATCTTAATGCGGTTTCTCTGATACAGCAGTTCGGCGGCAAGCGTGGGCGCCGTACACCTCTTTATCAAGGGGGGTGAGGGGACACGAAACACTTCTTTTTCGGGACATGTTGTAAAAATTGGGGAAAACGTCAGCCCGATATGATACCTAGAACATTAGAAAATCCTAGAGAGGTCTTACCACGGCGATGAGGAGAACTCTCCCTCTGTAGGCCTCCCTCAATAATCCTCGAACAGGAAAAGGAGAGAGAATCGACATTTCAGCACAAGAACCCCTTGACTACTCCCTCCCCCCTAAGGCTATTGGCGCTCGAAGTCATTTCACGTATTCTGTCAGAGTGACCTTTGCTTCGTTTTTTAATGAGTCGCTGCAAATTTGAATACATCAAAAACCCCGTACTTGACAGCGCTCAGTGGTAACCATTACGTGTCCTCAGGCTGGGTTTATACTTTGCGTCAGCGTCCGCCCGTATTTCAAGCGTACGTCAGCGCCAGCGACTAGGAACGTGTGGATATCGATCTGACAAATGCCAGCGTCCACCAGCGTCCATCAGCGTGTTCACGGGCACTTTTGAACTTGAACACAACTGCCCGCGAAAACGCTGCTGCACCTGGTGGACAATGGCGTTGTCCGATATCCATACTTTCCTATCCGCTGGCGTCCGATCCGAAAGCTGGCGGACACTTACGCAATGTGTGAACGCAGCCTAAGGCGATACGAATAAGCTTTAAGGTGACTCTGCACGTTTTCATGAACCAAGTAAGCTGCAGAAGGGAGCATTATCTATGCAAGCATGCAAAAAAACTTTCACAAAACAACAATACTCTCTAGAACTCACGTTCGTTGGGGCCAAGCCAGCCCACCTGCTATGCCATTTGATGTTGGGTTAACGGCACCACTGGAGGGCACACTGTGCAGAGAACCGTCAGAAGAAGGCCCGGCTTGAAATACCGGGTTCGGTTGTGGGGTTATAACCTGCGGTGTAGTGGCGTTTGTACTGAGCGTTTGATTGCTGGAGTGAACCGTAGATCCGCCACCAGCTGATTTAGAGGAGATTGATGACGATGCTGAAATAGCGCAAAAAGCGATGGTTAGCGCATCAGCAAAGAAAAGATTAAAAGGGAAATGGAGAAGTTGAATAAACGAAGTCAAGAAAAGCAACGATTACAGGCTAGCGTGCAAAAATGAAGCGTGCAAACACAAACCAGACCAAGTAAATTCATTTACCAGAAGTAAATCCGAAAACAATACAGCATTACGTTCTACAAATGTAAGTATACAGTTGCTGAAAGAGAACGCAAAAAGTCACAAAACTACACAGAAACTGAAAAGGGAGACAGCTGGAGTCTGAGAAAAGTGAAAACCCCAACAGCTCTCTCTCTCTAGCGAGGAAACTATTTTTTTTTCTAGAGTATTGCCTAATCTATTTATCACAAAGCATTTTGCGAAGTTTTATTTGAAGGTTTTAAGCATTTATGCTGAAAAAAACGAGAACAAGGTTAAATAGAGCATGTCATCGTATCAAGTAGTTTTATTACACACAGGGAATCTAATTCACTGTGTAAAACCAAATAAAATCCATATTATGCTCCCCATTATCTGTAAATTTCGTGAGACTAGAATTTCTTGTCAGAAAAAGAATTATAATTGATTACTTGTATGTAACCTCTGAAAAGCACCGAGTTCACCGTACACGTTGTATCCCGAAGATGTGAAGGACGTGGCTGATTATTTCGGCCTTCAGTTAAGCATGATGTAAGACACGCTATCTGTGGGATATTTACATTCAGGACAACTGTCACCCTCCTTTATCTCGATAACGGCATAATTATAACAGGTATGGCGGCATCTCACCAAACCCAGCTGCCGCCTCGTTCAGATGAAGTATGCAGCCACGCCCTCTCCATTTCCCTGATATGCAGTGCAGGGGCGGGGACGGAGAACCACAAAAAGGCACGCCCCTGGCCCGTTTATTGTCAGAACGATAGATAGAATCTCTATCGATCTACCCAGGTATCCATTCAAAGTTCCATGGTAAGTTGGCGGACTTCCCTGGTGAGAGACCGACCGCTCGTCACAAACCGCTAATAGTGGGGCCAGTGCTACTGTCGAAAGACTTCCATACCGTATGCCAGTGGCATCTGAGGCCGCCCAACGATTAGTAGTGAAGCGGGATGTTGCACTGTTGAATTGCTTGAGCAGTGTGGCATATGATGGTGTGACCATAGGCCTCAGGTCTTGACGATAGTGCCGAGCACGTAACAATATGGCACGCGTCGCGTCGCTGCAGCAAGAATATAACGTCTTACCCCCACTCTCGTGCATGCAAATCCTCCGTGTGCTTGCCAAAAGACATGAGTGACGTTAATGAACATCGAAATTATTGTGCTTTCTAGACATTGTCACTAGAATCCGTAGGTAAATTGTGCAAAAAATATGTAAGTGAAGAATAAAGCTCGGACCAGCTCAAGAGCGTGAATTAACGAAACACCAATACAGTGAAAAGCAAGTGCAAATCCAACAGCGACATCACGATCAGAAAGAGGAAGAAACCAATCACACACCGACACTGCATGCTCACATGGTTCGAATAACTACATGTTACTTTCCACAAAACAGTCACTATTCAGGGTTGAATTAGAGAAAACTGCCACTTGAAGAACTACCATCCTCCTCCGGCTCTGACATACCTGAGTTGTGGCTGTAGAAATGAGACGATGATCCGGAATGTTGCATGACTGGCATCGCCTCTAAAACAACGCCACATGGAAAGGCGGAATATGTGCATAAACAGACAATCCTATAGCAGCTTGAAAGTGCGTTCATACTCTGCGTCAGCGTTTGTGCGTCGCTGCCAGACGCTTAAAAAGCTAAGTATAAACGCAATCTCACACGCCACAGAACATCTAGAGCATCACAACAGCTTCCCAGAAAAAATTCTTAAAACAAAAGCTTGCAAGGACAGCTGGACTCACCACCGGCATAGAAAACGGAAAAACCGCAGAGGGACTCGATTTGCAACCATCTTTCTTGAGATTCACGTGTGAGCACATGGATTTTGTCCATACGAGACCTGTTTCAATACATAACGGTAATCACGAAATTGCGCTTTTCTACTCATAAAATTTTATGTTAAGCTGGTAAAAAACTCACTTCAAAGCAAAGATTTTACTGTCAACTTGGTCGCTAGAAGACGATGCTCCGGTTGCTAGTTTAAGCGACGACAGAACACTGGACGTCTTCTTCTGAAGACGGTCTACTAATTCAATCGCTTCTCGCATCTCCTTCACACACCTAAAACCACTAGCTAAATTGAATGATAGCATTTACTCGCAACACGACTACATCGCTAAGCTAAGACGATTCCAGCGATCAAAAGATCCAATGCCTCCGTGCATTCCATATTCAAGTCCGCACTCGTTGAGAGTGTACCGCTTACGTCCCCCGAACGTGCGCTATAAAGCAGT